TGAAGATATGCTTGGATATAAGGCTTTTGTTGAATATCTTCCCAGGGATATTCTTTCCTTCATATGTCTCATCCTGGAAACAAGAGCTGCTAGGTTTCCTTTCACTTACTGGAAAGAAATGCTGGCATTTGAAATGAGGGCTCACATGACATTTGAGAAAGACGCTGCAAACTTGCTCAAAAAAGGCACTCTTGTGCATCCTCCAGTGCTGGATAGCCTGCTTTTAGGCTGGATAGTCTGACACAACCTCTTCTTTCTGCCACCCACCTGGAGAGTCACATGGCACTCACACCCAGTCTTCCCAATTAGGGTAAAAGCAGTGATCATGCTCACAAAAGCAAACAAACAAAAAAAAAAAAACACAACAAAAAGGAAACAAAAACAAAACAGAGGAGTGGAGGTAGTTGTGTTATGTACACCTTCTCCCATGGAAGCAAGTTGTGCACATAGAACTGATTCAGGAGACTCGAAGACAGGTGAGATAAGAATAAAGCTAGAAAAACAAACTTTCATCAATTCACTGTTTCTTACCTGAAATGAATTTGTATAGGAGAGATTCCAAGCTCAAAAGAAAAATATTATTTAGAGAGTCAGTTCAAAAGTCTACTCTTCATGTTCTTCTCTGCCAAGACAATTTCCAGTATCCTACATTTACTCTGCAGTATTTGTAGATAATAATTACACTATAACAGCATGAGAGCACAATCTTCCATAAGTTAGGGTGTCAGCTACAAGAAAAGACGAACACTGAATGAAAGTTTTGCAAAGGGCAAAAGCTCTCATTTGAGTCTCCTGGAGCACAGGAGACTCACAATAATGAAACTGAGCTCTGATATTTGTTGGTCAGCAATTACATTGGTGACCACATTAAAAAAAAAAAAAAAAAGAAAGTCTCACTCTGCTGTGATCAAATTTATAAGCAATGTGATAACCCACAACATTTCAGCCTAGAAACCTTACACCCAACTTGTGAAAGGTCCTCAGACAACCTGTCTCCTCCAGGCTTCCAACACAGCACGTGGGCTGATGACTTTAACACCAGGCTGATTTCTTTAAGACCGCTGACGGGCTGATATCTTTCGCAAATGTGAAGATCCAAACTCACGAACTGTAATTACTGAGATTGCAGATGAATCCAGGTTAGAGAATCAAGTTACAGAACAGGTTTCACTCTGGTCTCTTTCTTCTTCTGGTTTTCATAAGCAGTTGTACACAATTTAATTTAATCTGAAGGCAATACATTTTGTATTCTCCACGACTGTTCCACAACACAAAACAGAGTCCAAAAAGAGGAGATCATACCACAAAATGTGGAAATGATCTGCAAAGCACAATTCTTAGCTAAAGAACGCTGCTGGAAACACTCTGAACTTCCCTCCCACTGCACATGCACAGCCCACAACCTCAAAAATCAGATGAGAGCTTAAGTATGTGCTACACTTACATACTTGCTTAAATTTAAGTTCTACCAGCAAGGATGCAAAAGTAAGACGCTGTTTTTCTTTCTGTTCTGAGAATTTCCATAATGCGCACGCTGGTCACAATTTACAGCCCATGCAACAAAGATTAGAAAGTCACCACAGCTGAGACCTTCAGGTGAGGGAAATCAGAGCTCCCTGCTGCTTATCTTGCACTTTTTTTTTTTTTTTTTTTGGCACAGGATCCATACTTATATGGGTCATGTAGGTAAGCTGAAGGAGAGTACCTACTTTCCAAGTCCAGTCACTAAAAACGCAAATGGCACAGACTGAATTACAACTTAAGCCACTAAAAAGGGGTATCAAGGTATGGGGCTTCAGATGCAAGTGCCCCATAGCAGCTTCCCCACATACACAACATCACAGCAGGCAGAGAATGGAAAGCATTCCCATGCCAGGAGTTCCAGGAGCTGCCTGGACCACACTTCGTCATCTATACCTAAGCATCTCTGGCTGACAAGACAGTAGGAAGGAGCCTCTGCCTTGCTGAGCTGTGCAGTGTGAACTGCCCAGACTCTTTTCCCATTATACCGTGGAATACAAAAGCAAATAAACAGATAAATAAAAATTCCACATTCCAGGGAAAAAGAAGACAAAAGCCTATTTTGGGCGACAAAGGTCTGACTTTTCAAAATGATGGATCTGTGGTCTTTGCAAGGAACCAGCCTTGCAATGTGCTGCCCACATTACAGCATTCTGAAGCTATTCACGCCAGTTTGCCAATGCTGGTATTGTGTTTGTGTGCTTGGTGCTTCTGGGCTACTCCAGGATTTTCCCCGGCACTGACTGGACACATTCTTCTCCAAGTGAAGAAGGGGTTGATCCATTGCCTCAAGCTGAGGGGAAATGTAGATAATTGCTTCTCAGAAACATCAACAGTATTTCTGGCTCACTGGGGGGGAATGGCTCGACCCTGCCCTTCCGTCCAGTAGACCACAACAGCTACATGAGCTCAATGCAGCTGTGTAGTGCCTGGTATTTATAAGGAATGTGACATTTACATTCTGATATTTGAAAAGCATAATGCCCAATCTGTTCATAGACCTGCTTTACTTGATAAGCATTACTCTTCTTCCTAGTTGGCTTTGGCGCAGGCCACCCAGCACCACCATTTACTCATGAGAAGTTGCAGCAAGGACAGCCCTGAGATTCTCGCCCCCAGAAACACCCAGACCCATCCCCTCCCTGGGTCACTCCCACAGGCTTCTGAAAGTAATGGCAGCTTTTCTGATCATAAACAGTTAAAAATACTCAAGCATCAGAAAACCGACAACAGTGGTACCTTTCAAAATACAACGATAATAGATTTTGTCCCTGCTCCAGATTCCATCTGCATTCCATCTACAGGGTGTCTGCACCCACGGCTCTGCAGCAGGGCTGGGAGATGTGCTGGAAAAGCCTGGTTTCAATTTTCTGTAAGCAGTGGCATATTTCCACTTGAAAAATCCTGCTGTTTGACAACAGCATTTTGCCCCCTACCAAATAGAGCCCTTCAGGTTTTACAAGCTATTTTGTAGACACGAATAAAGTTTACAGTGCCTTGGTAAAAGAAGGTGATAATCATACCTAACACACAAGGAAAAGAAGCCCCAAATAGACAAATCAAAATTACTTACAGATAGATTAGAAAGGAGCCAAGTGGTGACTTTCCCTGGGTGGATTAGCACGAAGGAAAAAAAGCTGCTGGGAGCCAGTTCCCACAATGAATGAATGCAGAGGAGGGAAAAGGCCAGCAGCCAGAGGATCCAAGCTGTGGAGGGCTGCTGGCGGCACCCTCTAACCAGACTGCTGGGAACTCTGAAAGAAGTGTGCTAAGATACCACAGGCCTCGATGTCTGTTTGTATACCGTGCTGAGCTCCAGCAACCCATCCTATTTGAAGGGGACGACCTACTCAACTTGTTCTTTGCGACAAATAAGCTGCTAATGCTCAAAGATAGCCATCTTTAAGGTCAATGGTTCTCCTCTATATACATGCTTTCCGGGAAGGCGAGTGCAAACTCTACAACTCACCAACAGACAAGGATAATGAAGTCAATTAGATCCACATTCAGGACCCCCCACTCACATCTGTATAGGAAAACAAATAAATCCGTCTCTACTTGCAGACATTGCTGTTGCTGCAATTTAATCATTATGGTGGTGATCAGTTGACGGTTGGGCTTGATCTTAGAGGTCTTTTCCAGCCTTATCGTTTCCATAATTAAAGAAAAATATATGCACAGAAAGTACTATATTATGCTCTCCTTCAGATACTAAAATATGCAGTAGTAGTACATACTAAAATGAGTGTGGCTGCACATGGAAGGGCAAACCAAATGAGCTACAGGGGCATTGCCTGGCTTAGCACACAGACCACACGTCCTAGAAGTTGCAGTCTATCACTGAGTTCATAGCATCATTTTTCAGGCACTAAAATGAAATGCCAACTCCAGGATAGCCCATATTATATATGTGACAATAACTTGAAAGGGGGTGGGGGTATGTAACCCAAATATGAAGTGAACTGAAAATGATTTCACAGATTCTGAACTAGAAATGGTGTCTGCTTAGATAGACAGAAGGCAGAGAGAGGAAAATGACCTTGAGCTGTATGACAGAGTGATTCATATGTATGAAAGATACCACAAATTATCAGCTACTAGGAAAAGAACTGTATTGCAAGTGTAGCTCAGCTTCCAGCATCTAACTCAATCCTAGTTGTAGAATGAGAAAACATGGACAAAATAAAGTCAGTCCCCTTTCTAAACCTGATCATTCCTCACCTGATAAAAATGTAGCAGCACACACAGCAAGAGCTCCAGGACTCCAGGATGTATAAATCAGCAAAGCTCTGCTGTCACCATGGATGCTGAAAGTTAATGGATTTTTGCATCAATTGCTCTCTCTCAAAAGAGGAAAAAAAAAAGGAAAGAAAAAAATGTACCTGCAAATACTGATCTCCTCTGACAGCATGCACACAAGTGCACACTCATGGCCATATGCATACTGACATAAGATTCACAGATCCACTGTGCTACACCACTGAGCACTTGAGCTGAGTGGGTCTTAGCTCTACCATGCAGTGGCCCTTTTCCAGGTGTCCAGAGGAAAAGATCATTTGAATGACAGAGTTGGAAAAAGCTCTTCTTCAGTTTATGCTACAAAGATGTTTTCTTCTAGGGAGCTATAATCTGCACGACTATAACTTTCACTTTTCAAACAGAGCTCAAATTCCTGCCCTTGGCACAGCATCATAGAGGACCTGCTTTCACTCACATGGATTAACTCTCTCTGAACAGCTTACCAAGATAATTGGCACAGCCACTCCTTTTCTTCAAAGCTTGCTTCTGCTCACCTATTTTCTTTCTTCCTCCAATGAGTACATAATGAGCAACAGTGAGTACCTAACGTATAACAGTGACTTTAATTACCACCACATCAACTGGCAAGAGTGTTTTCCAAGGTAATAAATGCCAATTAAACAAAACAAGTGAAGGCATGGCACAGTGCTGTATAAAAGATATCTGTAAGCAAGCTGCCCCATGTACCTGATGCAGTTCAGCATGCTGCCACATGCTCTGCCTCCCTCCTGAGAAAGGAGACACAGCAGCCCAGGAGGACTGCGTGCACACAAGGCCACCACGCATCCAGACTACAGGTGAGTTGCTGCTCCCCATCACTTTCTATGGGCAAACCTAGCTTCACACTTATCTGCATGTATCAGTACAACTTACTGGTTAAGTCCAATATATTTCATTCTACTGAGCAAATAGCTTCCATTTGCGCTAAAGCTACTCTTCTTGAACTTGAAAGTTTTTGATAATGTTTAAAAACCTTTTGGCTGTGTTTTGTGTTTTAACTGCTGCTGTTATGATTTGCAATTTCTTAATCTCACAGTAATTTTTTTCCTTTTAAACTCTAGGGGATTGCTTTGAAAGATGTTTGTTTGTCTGTAGAACTTTAAAAAAAAGAAAAAAGCTTTTCTGGTTGGAGGGAAAAGCCTGGAAACATGAGATGAGTGTAAACTATCACTTTGAAAATTTAATAGTAAGGCAAAGGCATTTTTCACTCACATACATCTTCCTGAAGTTTCTACTTAGAAACTGAACTTCACAATTTCTCTGGCAAGTCTGAGTTCTCTGAGACTGGCAATATTTTCATGAATGTTCAGTATTTTTTCTGATAGATGAGCGACATACTTCTTGAGAAGTACTGTCCCAACTGTTTTGACTATACTTGCATACTAGAGCTTTCATTTTGAACATCTATCTAGTTGTATGCAATTAGTCTGTCCAGCCTTTAACTGCTTATTATTGTGTCTTCTCCCTTTGGAGGAAAAAAAAAGGCAGAATTGAGAGAAACTCTGAAGTCATGCTGTTTAGCCCAGTCTCCCACCAGCAATTTTCAAAGGACAGCTCAAACAGCCTCTGGATTTTATGCTCGAACAAGCAGGTGTGCAGAGGAGCCTGATGCCATGGCTTATGAGAAAGCCAGATCATCTCCTGAGAGAACTAGAAGCCCAATGCCCACTGGTCAACAAGGGCTTGCATGGCTCAGGAAGGCTCCCCTTGGTAATTTCCAGCTCGCGCCAATTAAAAAGAAAGCAGATGATGGAAACAAGTTAAATGTCACTATTATAAAGCACTTGTTAATTTCAAGCACGCTGCTGAAGCTAGCATAGCAGCAATTAACGTGCCAGCCTTCATAATTACCACACAGGAGCTTGTCTCCATGCTTGCAGCTAGCTCTTACTCCTCTCACATCCAGAGAGCTGTTTTGCAGCCATGCTCACTGACAACAGCATTCCAGGCAGCTCTGCTGCTCTGAGCAGCATCTTGTCCTGATTGAGGATAAGGACTCTGAAACAGTACTGCAATATATTAACAAAAGCACAACATGTCAGACATCTTGCTTTGGATGAACTGAGACAGCTGTAAGGGAAGGGAAGCAGCCAGCAGAAATTTTAGTCAAAGATAAAATGGTAATGAAGCCTGATCAGGGCCTACAATTGTTTAGGTACTGACCTGATTATTCTACAGAAATTTCCTTTCCTACATCATGCATTCAAGTCTCAGCTAGGCAACTTGATAGCATGTTTTATAAGTGAACAATCAATTTCCACTGTAGTACAATACAAAACTCTCAAATATTCCTTTCCTTCAGGGAGGAATTCTCATCCATCAAACACCTTGGTGCCATCCCAGCTTGCAAGACACTCCAATTATTTGCTTTGGCACAGTGGATCTCTCTGCAGGCATGCTCTTACTTTCTCCCAGCAAGAGCATTGATGAAGGAGAGCATATAAGTTATAGCAGTGTTGGGCCTGCGTTTATTTGTTCTGAAAGGAATGGGATATATATGCCCACTGCTATTTCTTTTCTCAGTAACGTTGTATTACTGCTCCCTGCTTTTTTTTTTTTTGCCTTGAGAAGGCACAGTGCTCAAAACGTACCTGGCCTGGTTCTCCAGTGTAAAGAAGAAACTCCAAAAGAAAACCTTTCAATTTCCACTTTCCTAGGGCTCCTTAGCATGCAAGAGCCACTCTGGATCCCAATTACCACTGGCTCTGCATTTCCATGCATGCATGGCTGACTGCAAATTCACATTCCTCTACATAGTACAAGTCATAGCCACCATGAGTTGCCTCCAGTAATTTTCGAGGCAGGGTCTGTCAGAGAAGGTAGAGATATGGAAAAAAAAACTGCCTTGCTGTGTGCAAGCCTGATCAGATGTTTCACTGCCCCAAAGTGGGCAGAAGATGACACTATGAAGTGCTGGAGCCCTGCATGCCCTGGGGGAGACAGGGAGAAATTCTCTATCCCTGTTTCACACACACTTTCCAGCATTTTATGCTTATAGGGCAGTTCTTCTCTTCCCTAGTGGGAAGCTTAGAAATGCCTAATAAAGAGCTTGTTCACCTCCAATTCTTGTTCCAGCAGAGATGCAATTAGCAAATATTTAAAAAGACAAAAAAGGAGGAAAAACATGCAAGTAAAAAACAAATTAATTTTCCCATAAGGATACGCTTTCAGATGTGCTTGCAGCACTGCCACCAACTCCTTAAGTGTTCTCTGAGATCCTAACTAGAAAACTACCAGAAGTAAAGCAGTGCGGTTCCTCAAGCAACTTCGGAGATGGCCAAGATGAAGAAGATCCTCCCGTAAAGACAATTTTCTTACAAATACCAATTCAGACCACTGAATTGCTAGCCAGTCTGTAAGAACTGCTGCAAGCCAGAGCTAGGGTACAGCTCCAGGTGCTGTAGACCAGCACCTCCAGAGGCACAGCCACACCAGCCCCTCTGTTGGCCAAGGAGATGTTAGGGCTGGGACTGAAGGAGCCAGACCTACATGGAGCAACACCACAAGCCAAAATCCCAGCTGCACAGATATCTCAGGGTTTGGAATTGGGCATCATAGCTTCAGGCAGCATAGCTGGATCTCAAAGCATCAATTCTGTTTGCACCTACAAATATAGCAGGTCCTCACTGAACTCAAGCTCCTTTGCATCACACTGTCAGCCTGTGAAACACGGGGGGCTCAGAGAAAACAAGACCAAAATAAAAGCCCAAGCACGTGTAAAGATAACGACTTCACATGTTAAAGTTGTTCAATGTACAACTCAAAGGTTTGATTTAATAATTCCTGTTCCTATTTGTTTTTTTCCCCTCAGGATTTCAGTGAGGTTTTGACTGATACGTAGAAAGAACCATTTGAGCTAAAGAAAATGCTAGAAATACATAATCACTTTCTTTGAAAGTATTTAGACCATCTCTCCTGGGAAGGACTGTATCAAGGTAAGGGGGGGTCAGGAACAGCAGCATGATAGCTCTGGAAAATAAGCAAAGGCTCCAGAATGTTGCAAGGCTGATAGATGAGACCTTGATTTAACTGTGGCTGCAGGTTTTATCTTGGATTTTATCATTAGTAATAATGAAAGTTGCTGAAGCCTTCTTTATGTTTTGTCAGTATCACCTTAACCAGCAGTTGCTGAATGCCTCAACATCAACTGATACTTTTTGCCCTGGGACAAACATTTACTGTGGTAGTTTCTGGCTTTGGCACAGCAACACATCATCTCATTTAAAAGGGGGGAAAAAAAAAAGACCATTAGCTAAAAATACCTGAATGAAAACAAAAGTATTTCAAGCGCTGTGTTATTACCCTCCCTTCCTTTTCTGTGACCCCATTTTTCTTTCCTGTGACCACTGAGATAACCTCTGATGTTTGCATAACAACTTTTTCCTCCCAAAAAGAAGTGGGAGATATTTTCTTGAATTAAGTTTGTGAAAAACACAGGCTGATTGCTTTGTTGCTGTTAACAGTCTAGCCAAAGTCTATGAAGATGTAGGGAAAATAGCAAGAGGCCAACTAAAATGACTGCAAATAAAAACACAGTGGCAGTCCATGCTGTACTTTTCCCTCCCCACTTTCCAGAAACTGCTAATTAAATCCAGTTTTAACCTAGGGTGGAGACGAGCCACAGAAACTCCCAGCATGAGATAACACCAGTATGTGATTCGGGAGAAGTGGATCATCAATCAGCCAGACTTGTAATAAGGATAACACCACCGTGTGCACACAAGCATTGCACAACACGATTGGCCCCGAGCACCCTGCCCATCAGCACCCTTCCACTGAGCTGAAGTTAGGACCATTCCTCCAGTCTCATTCAGAGCTTCCACCTTAATCTCTCAGCCTGCCTAAATACAGTGCTAGCCAAATAATTTAGGGGTGGGAATAACTATTTTGTGTGAAACACAAGCCTGAAAAGCAAAACCCGATGCTTTCATGAAAAACAAACAAACAAACAAACAAAAAACAAAACAAAACCAAACACCTGCATCCTTTCTTAGGGGAAAAAAATAAGATTATTTGGAGAACTAACCTCCAAATGCAAGTCATCTTTAGGAAAAGGATACTTTAAAGAACAAAAATCTTCGGTTTATTGTACTAAATATGTAAACTCTTAAGGGTTTCCTAATAAGTCTGCTAAGTATCCTACACAAATTTGCTGGGTAAAGAATCCTAACATGCTTCATAAAAAGCCAATCGAAGAATGCACTGTGTTATTCTGCACAAGAATTATAAGCTTTCAAAATACATTTAAACATAAGAGTGTAGAAAAGCAATAGTGAATGTGACTCTCCATATCCTGTAGGATGGCAGGAAGATGGAAGCACTCCTTCAGCCCTTGCACAGCCAGTGGCTCACTGCAGCACACCTCAGCATTTTATAATGCAAGTCCCTTCCAACCCAAGACATACTGTGTTGTTCTTTGACAGTGCTCTGCAAAAAAAGTAAAATCCACTGAGTTGGCCAAAAAATGCATTCACTAAACTCATGCAAGATGCAAAAATAGTACTTTTTGGAAGAAATTCAACTGGATCTGGCTTGTGTCCAACAACAATTAATATACTGAATTCTTGGGCAGCTAAATAAAGCAGCTTCTGCCCACTGAACTTTCAGGAAATGGCATTGTGGAAGGCTAAAAAAAGTTGGCTCTATCAAAGACTATGCATTCTATTTCCCCAGTGCAGTCCATTCTACCCTCCCTTTTTCAAGAGTATCTGCATTTAAATTCATTTTGAGGTAGTTTGGCAGTATGAACTAGAGCACACAATTCCTCTGTCTATTGGAGCTATATGATTGTTACCATTCAGCTTTCTAGGCATGTCTTCTTAAAGAATCTCTACAGACGTTTAAGGAGAGGGAGCAGCAAATACTGCATTGTAAGAGAAGCAAGCCAGCACTCTCCTCTAAGATCCTTTTATTCATTTCCTTTAAGGAAAACATAGCAGCTGCCCCACACCTTTGTGTAAAACAACAGAACTCCATGACTTCACAGCACCAGCACTGGGCAGCCCACCACAAGCACCTGCCTCCCACACAAGCAGTAACCCTGTGCAGAGCTGGGGGCTCTCTTCAAGCTGGCATGCACCCACACCAGCCCTAACAGCAGCCAATACTTGTGCCTACAGGCTGCACACTCATCCTCTGCCCCACTGCTGCTGGATTCAAGCCACAGCTATGCCTTCAACAGAGATACTCTGCAGGCAGAGGGAACGGACTTCAGGGATTACAAGTTTCAAACTGAGGCACCTCAAATAAAAGAATCAATAGGGAAGGCTGGGAGCAAAGTAAAAAAGACGCAGCTTTGCGTGTCACTGAGTTACTGTACCTCAGACAGCAGATACTTGATAGGTAAAATGGACAACCATTGCAAAAAATTAAGTTGTAATACGTAGTGGAGCAGGAGGCAGAAAGAAAATCTGAATGATCTTAAGTCAGTGTAATCTCATTTTCCAAGCACCAATTTCTGATCATTTCTTTTCCTATTTTATTCAGTATTCAAGAAGTTCCTTTCTAGCATCTTCCCCACACACTGCTCTGTATATCAGCAGCATACAGAGCATGTCTGGGATGCTCTAATTTCCATGCAGCTGGTAGTAATTCATCTTTCACAGAGCTGTAGATGGCTGAAATTGCATTCCAAGGAAGCATGCTCCCTTTAATAAGAACAATCAAATGCTATGATTTGTAGGAAGTAACTTTTTCCCTCCACCTTTTTATTATTGGCAAGATGTCAACAGATTATTAAATTGCAGGGAGCACAATCTATGATAAATAACCTTGCTGCATATCAGACCCAACACCCCCCTCCTCTGTGTTCAGACATATACCTTTGTTTTCCAAAACAATTCTGATTTACAAAGAATTACAGATTACTGATGGAGTCAGAGCACTGAATGAAGTACCGCAGGTGAGCATGATTGGCACAGCTTCTGCAAGCCTTGGTTTCTGGGAAAAGAAACCAAGTACAAGCAAGAAAGCAACCTTCTGTATGTGGCAGCTGCAAGACCACTGCTGGCATAGTACATGCTGTCTGTGAGTGAAATACACCACCATGAAAAATTGGAAAAGACCCCCCAGAAAACACAAGGCTGTCTTCAGGTCTTAAATCAACTGCACTAAGAAGTTGAAGACGTTAAACCCACTTACTTAATCAAAGACACTTAAAGCATCACCTGATCATAGACTGCAATTCCTTAGAGACAAAATGTCAAAGCTGGAAAAGCAAGCTGGATTGAGAGAAAAAGCACATTGTAAAGATAATTATCCTTCACATACTTTACTGAAGAGTGTAAAAGAATTGCCAGCAGATATTAAAATGCACTGCATGTCTAAGATACGTAGGTTACTAAATTCGAGGTAAGAATCCCAGGCTAAAACACTGTAGCTTGCAGATAAAATCAAATAAGATCAATAGGGTTGATAATCCTGTCTCTTTAAGAAGAAAAAAAAAATATTAAGAGTCCAAAATACAAACTGCTGCCTTCCAATGTGAACCCACTTAGCCACCATCCAAGCACACCGCAGAAGACCTCTCCAAGCACCACGCTGTCCTTCTCCAGTTTCCTGAGTGCTGCACCTCTCTGCACTGTAAGCAAGCAGCACGGCAGCCTGTGGTGACAGCTTGTGCTGCTTGGTGAATGTTTCCAGCCTCTAAAGACTACGCTTATTCTCCTCTTTAATTATTCCAAGGTCCTTTTCCAAAATCATGAAGAAAAATTTCCTAACTTCTGAAAAATATATTTTTTAATGTAATTTCATATACTGTTTCTTTTACAGATGCTCAGAACTAAATGGTATAATATTTATAATATTGGAAGTCTCTCATCTGTAGTTTGTCTCAGAGACTCACTGAGCCAATGGCTTATAGCACAGTAGGGCTGCCCATTAAAAATAATACTGCATAATTCCAGGCTTCCTGCAGGCATCATCTATATGTGCAGTTCCAATCACGTTAGAAACATTATTAAGAGCTACAGTATTTAACTCAACATTTAATTTTTACTTGATGTTAAATGAAAGCAAAGAGAATAACTAAAGCAGCAGTGGGGAAATAAAATAAAAGATAAAGCTAGTGGGAAATCTTCAGCTCTGTCTAGAAAGTAAACAAGCATTCTCTGCCTTAAACAGAATGGTCAGACAAGGCCAAAAAACCTAGAAAAGAAATCAGACTCTATTCAGGTCCTGTCCTGTAGGTGAGCAGAACAGGAAAATATAAAAAAAACCACCACTCCAAAACTGACTTGGCATTCATCATTTTTTCCAGTGCAGAGATACAGGGATGCAAATTATCTCCCCAGAGCTACACAGTGTCCATGACAGAGCTAAGAACAACCTGAATGCAAAGCCAAACACTTCAATCACAAAAACTGTCCTACTTCCATTGTCTCAGCCTGTATCCAGAAGTACAAAATCACTGAGAGAAGAGAGAGATGAAAATATGTCTCACGAACACTTCTAACCCACCTAGAAGCACACTAGTAGCGAGTAGCACAGCTACATTCACTGTGTAAAGCTCTCATGTTCAGACCAAGCTATTTGGACCCAGGGTGTGAACTTCTGGTACTCAAAATATTCAACTTTCTGAATCAAGTAGGCTGACGCAGATCCTCTGTTGAAAGAGGCAAAAAAGTCCTGTGTTGCTTAATGCCTTTTAGATGAGGGGTTGGAGTGCTCAAGGATGCAATTCCCACTCCACCTCTCCCCTGAGAATGACTGGTTCGCATCCAGCTCAGAGCAGAAATGTCAAGTACCATCATGTGCGCTCCTGATAGACTTGGAGAGGTAAGGGAATAGCCTGAGTGCAGCTCCCAGAAGACAAGTACACATATAGGACAAGTCCCTGTGGATCAGCCTGGCAGCGCTCCGAGGAGAAGAGCAACAGGAGCAAGCAGAGGGAAGGCTGCAGAAAAGTGGTGGCCAGGACCCTGTGGTGCAGAGGTGAATTAGCAAGAGAACTCACTGAGGCTTCATCTTGACAGCTTCAACTCCTTTAGACCCAGTGAAGACTTGCTTCAAATAAATTACTTCCACGCACAGGGAGAAGCAGGGTTTGTAACAGCAGCTCCAAGCAGAACATAGCAGTGAGCTACACCTCGCTCTGCAGCACAGGCAAAGTAAGGAGAGACAGAAGCCTGTAAGGAGCCGTGCTACAATACAGCACTGTCTGAGCTGACTCCTGCAGCAGCAGCACCCTGCACAGTGCCCCTGCTCACCTCGCTCCAGGCTCGCCGTGGAGCTGCCTCTGGTTCTTCACTCTGTACCCACTGCCATTTCACTGGGAACGTCTGTAGTTCCTCCCACAAACTGCTGCAGCCCTGAGATACAAATAGCAGCAAGGTCTTCTAGCAAGGCCTAGGAGACAGCTCTGAACTGGGAAAACTAAGTTATTAAGGACCATGTTGGTGCAGGGTTTCAGCTGAAACAATACTTAAATCTCTCTCCCTGCCATGGCTATGGTAATACCACACAACTACTCATTATCCTTATCTTAACTAGAGAAGCTCCTTTCAATTTAGCACTTAATGTAATTAGAGCAAATTAAATCGTGTTCAGAAAAAATCTTATTTTACCAGAGCTATTATATTACCTCTACAAAACTGTCAGTTAAAAGCTATTAAACAATGGGAGTTTGTATCTACTCAGGGAGCAGAAGAGTGAGTTATTAAACTGAAATTTGCTTAAATTCTATTTCCAAATTCAATACCACATCTCCAAAGGAAAATGGTAGACTCTCAGTGGCAGCACAGTGACCCTGGCAGTACTGAAACACTTGAACACCAATTCTCTGTTCTTTCATATATTATTTATTTTTAATATGAGGATTTGCATTTCAGTAAATACAGCAAACAATTGCCTTTGTCCTTTCAGCAAAATTAGCTCTGGCTAGAGATGTACTGCTGACATGTGAGAGACACAGAACAAAAGCAGCTGGCTGCCATGAAGTCAAGTGGAAAAAAACACATTCACTTCAAGGGGTTGAGGATGTCAAATACAGCATGGGAGATGAAATCAGGGAAGCCAGAAGGGCACCAGGTAAAAAGCCGTGTGCGTTTACATGTCACCTAAGAAACATATGATAAGTGGTAAAAGCTTGAAGAACTGGATATTCCAAAAACTGACCTAAGCAAAAAAGTTCCTGTTTAGAGTAGTCCTATTACAGTCAACGTGATTTCATTCGTGAGGACAAATTGCAGATACGAATTTCACTCCTATGTATATCTGTAGCACGGGAGACTGAAAATTGCAAGCAGAGATTTCTGGAAGCACAGTCTGTTTAAAGCAATTAATTTCTACGCTATTACCCAGGGGGAGGTGGGTGAGGGTGGAAATAGGCAACACATCTGCAAGAGGTACCCAAGAAAGGTAGATACATCTCAGTATGGTCAGTTTGTGTTCTCATGAATAATAAATGCTAGATTGTAATATTTGAATTGATATTAGAATTTTAACATGGTGCAAGCATTCCAGACGTAGGGAATAAAATGTTAAGTAGGAAGTATATTTATCATCTCTCTGTTCAACAATTGAGAGAACATTACCAATAATTAGTAGCAGGCATTAAAACTGCTTTCTGCTAACCACAGATGTTGTTGGTCACAGCAAGGTTGATATTAATGCAATAAAGTCAGATGATGACAGCTTTACAGCAGAGGGCAACATACTGGACACTTGTGGGAAAATAATCTTTAGCACCATAGGGATTATTTGGGTTAAATGACTTCTGAGTCACAGCTGGTTGTTCAGTGTCTCTCACCTGGTCTATATCTCCCTTTTATTTCCTCACGAGGAGAGAAGAAAAAGAAAGTGGCACTGCTGCAGCCACTCCTTTCTCCTTTGGAGTTAATACCCAGTATCTTGCTGACACTATGAGAAGGGTCTCATTTATATTACAGAATAGCCTAGCCAAAGCCAAGGCCACACTGCCACATGGTGTGAACTTGCAGAATGCAGACCAAGGAACCTGTAATCCAAGCAGACACGAGCCAAGACAAAAAAAGACAAAAAAGGCACGTGGAGGCAATGTGACATACCCATGGCCACATACTTTATCAGGGGCATTTGTGGGCAGGAAACACTGCCACACTTCTCAGATGTGCTCATGGCTATGGCATCCTCCTGGCTTTGCAGCATACCCCACCCTCTTCGAAGAGCAAGCTTGCAGCACCTATGCTGAGGTTCTACAAGCCAGAACTTGAATACTAACTCATAACTCAGGCTTGGTTTACGCAGCCTCTAGCCCTGTTCAGGTAGAGCTGCTGGAGTCTGCTGCAGTGCACAGGTGTATGAACAAATGAGGAGAGGGTACTGCAGTGTGCTTCCACAGCCTGCAGTCCAGAGAGAATTTCAGGTGATAACAGAAGAGTAATTATAAGCAACAGAACCTGTGTGTGTATCATCAGTCACACCAGCAACATGGGTCCTGTTTTGCATTCATCAACCCTGAGCTAAAAAACAAAATCCCAAAACAACCCATTTATATATGTATATATTTTTTCAAATTACATATTCTTTTCACAGTGGGACAAAGAGAAAGACAAGGAGGATGGATCAAATTAACAGACATTAAAAGACAGTGTTTTTAAACCCAGCTTAAAAGCACAAAGATGGTTTATTTCATGCCAAACACATCTGTGCCCTTCTCCAGGCTGATAATAGGGAGTACCATGGAAGACACCTTGTTTTACTGCCTTGCCCACTAGTGCTGCTGTAGGTACAGAGCATTCAGTGTTCGCAGAATGCCCTCATAATCCAAGTGAGGATTTACTACTTTATGGGGAAAAAACACTGATATTTCTCAGACTTGAACTATCTTTGACCCACATACAGAAAAAAGGTCACGAAGTGATCTGAAAATCCAGATTTCTTTCCTCAGTAAGGTAAGGGGGAAAAAAACACTCACTGTATCAGCGACTATCAGGCTTGCAGCATTGTCTGAGCTTCTATTCAAAGCAGCACAGCAAGAAGCAGCAGAAAGATTCATTTCATAAAATGTAAATCTCATCTATTTGCAGCCATGCCAGGAGCTTACCAGAATAAACCCCACAGGCCCAGCATTAATCCCAGTGGCAATTTCACATTCGACTTCCAGGGATTTTACAGATGAGCCAGCGGTGACTCCCTGAGCAAACGGTGTGATGTTTGATAAATTGTCAAAAAGCCTCATCACGTCCCTCTACTACACAAAAGTGCTTCTCTCCTGATGCTGAAAATCATATTAAAACACACCAAAATAGTTGGGTTTTTTTTTCTTTTTCTTTTCCTTTTTCTTCTGCCAAGATTACCCACAGTGAGCATTAGCAACCCACACCATGCTACATAGCAGAGTTCCCTTCCTCTTCTCAATGGAACATGGCAATTGTTCACTGCAAGGAAAGAATTCCCCATAATTATGATCTGAAGAAAACAAAACAATCAAGCAGTGGTACGCTGGTGTAAGTTTTGCACTCTTAACTGACATCAAACAATGCAAGTAACAAAAGCCAAACTGTCTCTGCACACTGAAGGTGGGAAGGAGAAGCACCACATGAGCACTTGTCTGGAACAAACTGCATTGTCAGGGAAGTTAAAAGTACCTTTTAGAACAGCTTCATGTTTTTGCTGTGAGAAAACTGAGGAGCTAGTAAGACCCAGCTTTTGTGCTTGAAATGTTGGGCTGGAATGCAGAAGAGCAAACTTCACATTCAAGCTTTCCACTCAACACCACAAAATGAGATATTTCATCTCTCAGTGCTTCTCTCCCCTGTCTTAGGAAGACAAGTATCAGGTCTGCTTTTATCCTAGCCTTTGCTGATCGGTTTTGACAGAGTATCCTTTGGGATGATAGCACCACATTTGAGGAATACACACAGAATTGCCACTACGTTATTCCTTGGAGGCACAATTTCGCATTGATGGGTTTGCTGACAGATGAGGCAGGACGATGCAGGCAGACTTGCTCCAAGAGCAACACGCATCCTGGCTTACTGAGAACCCGGGTGTTTCTCTCTTGGTTTTAGTCAAAAGATTTGATGTTAAAAACGTAATCATAAAAATAGTAACAACTTTGCAAAGACATCCAAATTCACACAGCCCAGGCAAGGAGTTTAACAAAGCTCACTCAGGAATGTATCAAGACTGCCAGCATACCAGGGTTACAGAGGTTGGCCTGAGACACAGCTACCTGTGACACACCATCAGGCAGAAAGCCCAGCAACACACCTATAAGCAACGAGAGAAGCCTTTCCAATCCAGTGGTTTGATTTATGCATCTAACAGTCCTTTGGTACAAAAGGAGCATAAAGGAGACAATGGCACAATTCCAACTGCAGCTCTATGAGAACAACAGCGCTAGCTGAGGTTACAGAACAAGAAATAGGTCTGAGATGTTCCTCTAGGTTGCAAATCCAACCACAAGTAGCTGGACTATTCTGACTTGAAAATAAGCCCTCTTTTCCCATTTCTGTCCTTTTGTGATCAAGAGAAACCATTTAAGAGTAACTTTCATCAGTCTGCTGTCAGCTGCTACCCATTTTGCAGAATATCCACCTCTGACCCCACAGTCTTTTTGTATTAGACACAGTACGTACAGCCTAAAGCAAGCAAAAAGCCCCTAGATTTTGAAACAGTGCTCAGTTCAGGAGTGTGGAAATTAGTGAACTCGTGAAGTAGTCTCACCTTTAGAGTCCCTCAGTGATAATACTCCTGACAAGCAGACATTACTTCAAGAACTTTTTGCTACTCCCAGGCTCACCTGATCGACACGCTTGGCAGAGAGCATCAACAAATCCATTTTTTCTCCAGCCACCTCCAGTAAGAAGCAGTGGGCAGAGGCACTTCAGCGAGGAATGGCAGAGCTGCTACTATTTGAAGGCTGGCTTAAAATATACAGCATGCAAAGATGTGCTGTGTCCAATTAGCATCACAGCAGAAGCACATGGGTAATAGATTTTACAGGCTGGAAAATTGCTCTTGAAGAGTAACCAATGAACGCTGCACTGGAGAAGGCAAGCAGGTACAATGCCTCTTGCCTTCCAAGAGGCTGCAAAATGAGGGCAGTGTGTAGCCAGGTCTGAGGAGAACTGCTGCACTTGGGATCTGAGACCGAGTCCTCAGCAGCTTATTTCGGGAAGACCTGGGCAGGGCAAACATTGCTCCCCAGCTCTCTACAGAGGCTCAGCAGCTGCTTATCAAAGGCTGTTTTTCAGGATGGTTGCCTCCTTCCTCCTCACACAGCCAGCACAAACCGCGGCACTGAGAAGGTCAGAACCTGTTATTTAGGCACAACCCAGTATAGTTAAATGCAATCACACTGCTCCACAAGCAGAGCCGTGAGCTCCACATGCAGCAGCAGTACCTGGATGAGTCTGCCTGGTTTCCACTGCCTGGTGCTCTGCAAAGCACAGCACAAATGCCAGCAGCAAGTCAGAAATCTGAAATGAGGAGTAAGCAAGCCCAGCCCCAGGCTGAGACAGGCTGGCAGAGCAGGTCCCTTTCACTCCTGCTGAAACCAACACGTATTTGGCATTCGGATTGTCTGTGCCCATTCCCTGAGCTGCTGCTTGTGTTTCCTTCACCTTAGAAATCATGGTGGGAATGCACAAACACCTACAGCGTGCTGCCAGAGACATCTTCCATTGAAGCATGGAGGTGTGAGGAGTGGCATTTCTGACTGAGAAAGCACTGTACTATTAACGTTCCAAAGGCAGGCAGGCCAGGAGAAGAAATACTAAATGCAGCTTTTTCCTGAATTCCACAAATCCATGCAGCTGCAGAGGGAGCTCTGTGCTCCATGGCTGTGAGCAGCTGACATGCTTCACAGCAGTCTAAGTTTTGCCTCTTAAGCCCCTGACCCAGTCCTAAGCAACCTTCTGCACCAGTGACAGTCTCTCAGTGGCTGCCTGAGGACAACAGGTTGCTTAGACATGTGGCATGGCTAACCCAATTCAGACTGGCATAACTAAAATTTCTATGATCTACAAACATACTGTGAGCAAATCAAGTCTGAGCTGTGATCTGAATGTAGCACGCGATGCTCCAGACACTGTCCATTACAGACTGTGGGAACAGCCTTTCCCTAGAGGCATCTGAGACTCCCAGCTGCAGTGCTGCACTGGACACAGAGCCCTTTTTCTCTTGCTGGAGACACAAAAGCACCTCGCTAAGGTGAAATACCTGAACCCAAGCTAAATACCTAACCCAGTAATGGAAACTGAACCACCTGTACTGTACAAGCCTCCCTCCCACTCACCTGATGAATCAGTGTTGCAATAATGCATAGGGAAATTAAATTAAGTCCCATGGAAAGATTACAGCAGTAAATCCTCCTTTCAGTTATATCCCTGCAACAGCATGATTAAATCATTCCTCAGATTTACACTGCCTACTTCAGACCAGAACAGGCTGCAGGCAGGACTAAGGCCTGGCATGTTTTTCCCCTTGAATCAAGAAATTGCCATCCCTGCCTCAATCAGCAGTAGCACAAAGTAAGCCCAGGTGTCTGAGCACACCCCCTGGCTGCCCCATCTCCTGAGCCAGCTCAGCTGTGCCCTCCTCACCTGGCTCAGGGGCACCTGCCACTCTTGCATCAAGAAAGCTGACCACCTGCAGAGAGAAGCTGGTGAGTGTCTGAGGGCTCACCTCCCTCTCTGTCCTGCACCCCCTTGGGGAAACCTGCCACCAAGGAGGACAGTTGGCAGCTGGGGACGTACACAGTGTGGCAGCTGCTCACTGCTGTACAGACCCTGCAGAGAGGGAAGGAGTATTTTGACAAGAAAGATACTATCGTAGCTAGATGAAGCAAGAAGGTAACTATACAGCTTAAAGGCATAACCTCCCTCCTCGTTATTTTAAACAATGGTTTCTCACTACTGCACTATAGGTTTGTGCAGCACTTGAAAAACACGGTTGCTGATCCACCAGACAGCTAAGTATGTGCTTACACATATTGTTCTCCAGGAACACTCCTCACTTCATTTGGTTCAAGCTAAAAACATCTTGAAACTCCGATCTACAGTCTACCTGGTCTTCAGACAACAGCACATACGGTCCCCAGTCTACACACGTACCTAAAGGTAATTACTAGCCTCATTGGCACATAAGCAATATCAGCCGAGACAGTCACCCAACTGTTTCCTTACCACCTTGGAATAAGTCCATTAAAGATGGGCCCACCGACCAGACGTGTCCATATCCATACCAGCTACGTCACCTTCAAAACTCACCCCATACCATGCAGCCACACACCTCCACCCAGCCCTGCCACGCCTGTGCTGCACGGAGACACCCCTCAACCCCGACATGGATCACAAACAGCAAACGCCTTTGCTTCTACAGCCCAGACACAAAGCACAACAGCGCATTACCTTCTAGGAGCCCCCAGAGCTCAGCCTCAAACAGCAATCACTTTGCTCATACAGGCAGTGGGGTATCGCGTTCTGCTGAAAAATAAGCAGCCTGTCTGCGTCGAGGGTTCTTTTTAGAGATTGTCTGGGGGTTGCTGGCTGTTTGGGGGCAGAGGCTGCGAGGCAGCCAAGCTATGAGCCGGAGGTGAGAGATCCGGAGCTCCTTACCTGGCCGGGGCGAGCCGGGCCCCGAGCGGCGCCGCCTTCAGCACGCCGCGCCCCGCCACGCCGCCCGCATCGCCGCCGGACCGCAAAGCGTGGGCTGCGGCCGAGGGCACGCGTGGGCCCCGCGGAGCCGCACGGAGCCGCACGGAGCTACGGGCCGCGGCCGGACAGCTGGTCGGAGAGGCGGCGGCAGGAAATACCAAAAGACTGATCCAACCACGCTAGGGAGGGAGGGAAGAAAAGGGGGGGAAGAGAGGAAAAAATAGAAGGGGAGGGGAAACAAAAAAGGAGGAAAAAAGAGAGGAAGCGTGCAAAATGCGGGCGGGATCGGCGCGGAGCGGGGGTCGGGGCTTCTGGCTAGCCTCCTTCCCCCCCAGCGTGGCTCTTTCTTCTCTCCAACACAGCGAAAGGCTGAAGCCAAAGCGAGAGCCGAAGTAAATAAACAAAACAAAAAGCTCTGAGTGGCAAGGAAGCACACGCACCCCCAGGAAAGCAGCCAGCCGCGGTTGGGGTGTGCCGACTCTGCGTATAAGGTAACAGAAAAGCCAACCTGCAAGAACGGCCACGCCGAAGCCCTCCAGCTGCAGGAGCGCTTGGTCTCAGCATCCGGCCATCCTCCTCCTCCGACGCCGTGACTCGAAGCGCCCAGGCGATGTGCAGCCCTGACACGGAGGCGGGCGCGCTCCCGGCTTCACGCGTGCATGCAGAGCGAAACGATCAGCCCCGCGGCAAGCGGAGCCCCGAGCTCCTCCAGACGAGGATGACGGCCCTGTCGGCACTGGTCTCAGCCCCCCGAGGGAGGCAGGACTTGACGGGGGATCCGGTGCAACGCGGTGATCACAGTGTGGC